AATTCACATTATCAGTATTGCCTATACAGAGCTCAAATAATGGGATACAATTGGTTCTTCTCAACCACTGATGAAGAAGATTTCAACCTGATTAAAGAGTCTCACAACACAAAGTTGTTCCTCCCTGGAGAAAACGGAAAGTTCTTTATCCCCTTCCCGACAGAGAACAACAACAAACTTGTGCAATTTTTCCAAAGGGAAAAAAGACACAAAGAAATCTACGAAGATGGTGGATGTTTTGGACAACAAACACCCACAGACACACAGTCTATGGCCGGATCATCAGAAATGCAAGATGCCGGAGAAGATGAAGAAATATTAGTCTCAAAATAGAAGACTAAGACCTAGACAAAAGGACATCATCAATACAAAGACAGCTGTCTTGACAAAACCCTTATCTAAAAAGAATCTACTTTAGATAAGGCGTGTTGTAATTTTTATCTTTTGTCAGAGTCTGTCGCCCTGTGAAAGAGTAAATGTGTGGTAGTAATTACCTCACTTGACTGAAGGGGCAATAGTGTCTTTGTTCTTTGATTTGTCTTTTAGTATTTAGTTTTCCTATAAAAGAACCCCCTTGGTTCACTTGTAGAAAAAGACGAGAAAAATAATCCAAGAATATCTAGAGTGTGCTAAGAGTGTTTCTCTAAGTGTGTTCTTTGTGTCTGTACTGTTTTTCCTCTCATAAGTAATATTTGTAAGTATTTCTTATACCATGGCTGGCTAAATTATCTCTTTGGTAGTTTTTAGAATGTCGTAGTTATTTCTTTTAACACATGCAAATATAATTTAGAATACTGGAGCTTTATTGAAAAGAAAATTTTGGTTTATGAAAACCTGGGATTTGTAAGCCTGAATCTTCAGGTGTGCCCTTGATAACTGTTTTGGAAAAGATAGTTAGGTTGCAGGTAGAACTGAGGTAGTTGTAAGACCCAAAGGAGTGGGCTGAAGTAAGACCTCTAAGTTGCCAGAAGATGCAAGTAAACTATTTTTCCTTATCACAAAATCCACGTTATCTTTTCAAATAAAAGGTCCAGGTTTTTCATTATATTTTATATTGTGTTAAAGATTATAACTCATTGTGTATTTCTAAAAACTATCATACTTATCTCTCTGACTTCCGCTTCAGCATTATCTACTCTGATTTTACCTATTTTGTTTAAAAATCCCTAACTAGGAGGCCCTGCCACCTTTCCTGGAGTATTTTATGATATTTTATTTTCGTAACGGTCATTTACATATAATATCATATAATCTTCCTTTTCCCCATCTTTATATTGCAATTTATTTTTATAACTAATATAGTAGTATAGTTACTATTCCTTTTCCTAGATTATGTTTATTAATGATGTTGGGGTAGAGGGTGTCACAATAATCAATAAATCATTGATTTAAATAAAATTGAGCTCTTATAAAGTTTTCACATTTAAAGTTTTATGAATAGAAAATTATAATTAAATTTGGAGATTCTAATAATATTAATATAATTACCTAAAAATATAATTCAAACTAATTTTTTCAGTACTTCACATTAATAATATAATTACCTAAAAAGATCATATTAATATGATATTGTTGGATGAATAGAATTCAAATTCAAATAAATAACTTAATCAAATTTTAAAATTAAATAATAACAAAAGGAAATCCATCTCAATTCAACTTTTCTCAAACACACTTACAATGATCTAAAAGTACATTGCTCATGTGCATTTGTCATTATTAAAAAATTCTCATACTGTTTTTGACAGAGAGGAAAAAAAAAAGAGAAGAAAAAAATAAGATAAATAAAAAATAAAGTAAAAATTGATATATTTAATAGAAGAAAAATAAATTAAAAATAAACTTGATTTTTATTTTTGTTTTGAAAGAAAAGAAAATAAAGAAATTATATTATTAATTAAAATACCATTTCACATCCTTAATTATTATGTTAGTCTTGTTTTCATTATTTTGTTGTTAACATAATCAACATCATCAATTATGTTAACTTTAAATTTCTATGATATCTTATAGAAGACATATAGCATATGTTTGGTTATGTGCCATAATCATAAAACATGAATCCAAGATGGAAAAATTCAGAAGCTAATTAATATGTAACTCCTCCTTTAATATGAATCTTGGACTCAAAATTTGATTAACGCAAGAGTGCGAAACACATATAATCGATTATGGTTTGAACATAATATATATAGCCTCGTTTTGTAATACTAAAGTCACAACAAGTCTTCAAGCTTGAGCTACCAAATAAGGCACACAAAAGTCCCAAAACAAACACAGTAGAAGATTGTGAACATTTTCAACACTAGTTATTTCCAACTTTTATTCCCATTTTTAAGCATAAGTTTTAATAGTGGACCTACAAAATTTCATCACATTTCTTTCTCATTTATTTTCTACCAAACCATTGAAATTACACAATTTCATCTCACCTTCCTCCTCTCTCTCTCTCTCTCTCTCTCCCATTTCCACTCCACCTCCACCCCACCAAACAAAACTTAGTTATTCACCGGAAATAACAGAGAATTCAGAATTAAAATATAATAAAAGTGAAAACATTCTATAAAATTAACTTATAGAGGCACAAAGTTCACGAAGGCGTTAAGATGTCAATAGATCACACTTGTTAGCAATCGATAACTTCGAGTGTGATAAAATGTCACACTAGTATATATATTATCCCAAACCCCATTCCTTGCAAAGTCTTCTACTACCCACCTACTTGACCCATTGCAGATATTTTTCATCAGACACATCATTAAAGAAATAAGAAAAAAAATAGCACGGTTCTAGTCTTATAGATGTAGAATATGGACACCGATCATTAATTAACATATTAAAAAAGAAATTAATGATCTATGGGTACAATATAGTTTTACACTCTAAATCAATAACTTGTATGGTAATTATAGTAAAACTTGTCATTAAAAAAATGTGGAAAATAAGTAGTATGGTCGTACCACTTGCAGAGAAAACCAATGAAAGCCTCTAATAACCCTTCTTCAAATCCAAGACCAAAAAAAAAAAAAACGAGTGATGGAAAAAAAAAATGAAACTAAATTCTCGTGACTCTTCGTGGTTGGTTTGGCACGCCTGAGATGAGTCTCACGCCAACTTGTCAACAGAACCCTTCTCTTTCGTCACCGTCCCGTGTCATTTGAAAACGATTTTTTCCAATTAATTAATTTAGATTAAACCCACAAGATTTTCTGTGCAGCCACCGAAGAAAAAAATAAAATTAGCCGGAGAGAGAAAAAAGGGTCGCACACACACAAGCTTTAAATGCGAGTTGGTTGAATTGTATCTTCTTTCAATTTCAATCTTCTCTTAAGGTCTAAGCATTGCGCAAGAGCAAGAGCGCGTTTTTTTTTTCTTCTTATTCTCTCATTCCTCTTCATAATATTCTTGTTGTTGTTGTGTTGTTACCCTATGTTATGTTATTATATAAATTAACATTAACATATAACATATATTAATAACTCCTCCTTAAACCCAAATCTTGTGACATCAGATTCAGACCGTACCCACCCCTTTTGCTTGTTTTCCTTTGTGGGTTGGGTTTCCAATCGTGCAATTTCTGAGACACCCAGATGGAGTTTGTGCCAAATCCGTGTCCTTTGCGTTCATCTTCCTTCGTGAATCTCGTTGAGAGGGTTAAACAGCTTGGTACCCTTGCCGTTTCTGCTGTCATTGGGAACATTTTCTCCGCGATCTTGACCTTTTGCTTCGCGTTAGGTTTGATTATTCTTACCCTTTTGTGAATTTTTATTCTCGTTCGTTGGATTTCAAGCCGGAACTCTTGATCTGCTTCTGTTTATTGTGTCATGGGTTTGGTCGTTTATTGTTGTCTCGATCGATTTCCGTTGTTGTCATTGTCTTGATGTTGTGCGGAAAATTCAGGGGCTTTCGATTGAGACAGAAACGTTTTTTATTTTTGTGGGAAAAAATGAAGCTTGCAACTTGGGGTCGGGGTCTGCTATTTGTTGTTGGTTGGAAGGTTTTGCTTATGTTTTACTTATGTTGTCTTATTTGGTTATTTCTGTTTTAAAAAACTCCAAATTTGTTGTGGTTTGTGTTTTTCTATCTCTTGGGTTTTGAACGTTAAGCTGTTGCATGTGCTTTGTTTAAGGGCAACGAGTTTTGATGGGTTGTTTCTTCTGCAGTGGGCACTTTGTTGGGGGCTTTGACAGGAGCTTTGATAGGCCAAGAAACTGAGAGTGGCTTCATTCGAGGGGCTGCGGTTGGTGCCATATCAGGAGCTGTTTTTTCCATTGAAGTGTTCGAATCCTCTCTTGTTCTATGGCAATCTGATGAATCTGGGATTGGTTGTGTCTTATACTTGGTGAGTTACTTAAGCTTCAAGGGCCTTGTCCAAGGACAAAGCTTAAATGCAGTTCTTTAGTTGCTTCTGATGCTGTTTGTCTAATTAGAATTGGAGTTTCACCGTGATAATCTGTGTGATTCTGTAATGTTTAATGCAAATTTTATTACGCAGTTTCATTAATCAGTTAAAACTCCAATTTTGATAAGAGATCAACACCAAATACACTTTAAGAAAGTCATCTAAGTTTTGTCTCTTGTCATTTGTCAAATTGAAAACATTTGTTGGGTATGTAAGCTCATGGTGTAGCTACATGATTGCAATAGGATCTTTTAATTGTTGGTTTGTAAACTTGTTGTGTTGCATTCCAGTTTTCTTTATGATATAGATTTGCATGCAGATTGATGTTATTGCCAGCTTACTGAGTGGGAGACTTGTGCGCGAGAGGATAGGTCCAGCCATGTTGAGTGCTGTTCAGAGTCAGGTAGTTTGCTTTGCACAACGGCTTTTTGCAATGATGACACTGAAATTTTCTTATGCACTTCCTGTACTGGCTGACACTTTTGCTCTTGCTTATCAGATGGGTGCTGTTGAAAACAGCTTTGATGAGGTTCAAAACATCTTTGACACCGGTGGTGCCAAAGGTTTGTCTGGAGATTTGGTTGAAAAAATCCCAAAAATCAAAATTACAACTGACAACAATGTTGATGCATCTGGGGATAGAGTTTCTTGTTCAGTTTGCCTGCAGGTTAGTTTTTACAATTACCCTTGACTATACCAGTAGATGTCTATACCTTGAACTATACCAGTAGGAGTGCTTTTAAGATTGTGTATTATGGTATGAACATTTCTTCATTTGTACATTTACAGGACTTTCAGCTTGGAGAGACAGTGAGAAGCTTACCTCATTGCCATCACATGTTTCACCTACCTTGCATAGATAAGTGGCTATTCAGACATGGTTCTTGCCCATTGTGCAGAAGGGATCTGTAATTTTGTATATGCATAGCAGAGACCGTTATATAAGACCTATTTTTTTTCTTCTTTTTGTTTATAATCTTATTTAATTCTAGGACTTACATCTAGTGGGAACCATGGCAGTTTGGGTGGTATCATTGTACTAAATTAGTGTAAAGAAAATTTTGTGATAAAACAGTTTCCACTTGTTGTATATGGATGAGTTATTGACCCTATTTCCAGCCTGTCTCCACTTTTTTCCTTTCTATTTTATCTTTAATATTTGGAATAAAGAAATAAGAGACGCCGATCATAGTGATTTCAGGCTTTGGAAGGTTAAGGAGACTCGTTTGTTTGTGGTCAAGTTTCATGATGTATCCCCTGAACTTGTTTAAGCATGGTTTAAGCATGGATCAATCCCTACTGCTGAAAAGATTTAACACGGTTGCATACACAAGGCAAGATTCGAACTCCTAACCTTACTTAAGCGTGGATTAACCCCTACTGCTGAACCACACGTTTGGGGTTATGATGTATCCCATTCTTAATGTAAAACAGGATTTGAATTTAATTCTAAAAAGTGACGAGATATGTGGGATGAAAAAATGAAGACTTGTCTAATATTGATTTATAATGGGTTATGTTTACAAAATACTTTTAATTTAGATTAATGGTAAATTGTTTTTTGTTTTTACTTTATACAATTTTTTTTTTTAATTTTATAAGAGTTAAAATATAATTTTTTTTTAATCTTAATAAGATATTTGAAATCCTAACTCTTGCTTTTAAACACAATATTTATTATTAGAGGGGTTGATGTCTCTACTAATTATACACTAATAATTATACACTGATAAAAGTATATAAGAAGATATTTTTTATATTTAAAAGATATAATGATTTATTAAAAGTAGAGATTAAAAGGGTGGTAGTAAAATATATCCTCTTATAATATATATAGATTAATTAAATTTATTTGAAATCAGTCTTATCGGTGATTTTCTATTTTTTAAATTTTGACTAATAAATAAAATATGTTAGCAGCATAAGTATGAAGGAAAGAAAGATGTTAACTCTCATTTATTTCTAAATAAAAAAACAGATCTGAATAATAAAAAAAATCTCATTTATTTGAGATAAAGTACACTGTAGAAGATTGGGATCCACTGCTAACTCTCATTTATTTGAGATCAAGTACATTGTAAAGATTGGGATCCACCTTGTATGATAAAAGTATGGTTCGTACAACTTGTTTTCACTTGAACTTTACCATTAACAGACTTCAAACGTAACGAGTAAAGATCACGTTGACAACTCAGATGAAGCCCATGGGTTAATTGTCTGATCCAAATACGCATTCATGTCACAATAGGAATGACAGTGACTTCTTTTTAATACTTTTTATAAACACGTTCTCTTTAATATCAGTTAAAATTTTGGAATTTTTTTTATCTCATTTAATTATTTTTATTCTAATTTATTGATATGTTTTATTAAAATTTGTAATTTTCAATTAATAGTAATAAAAATATCAATAAAAGAGTGTTGTTAACATTACCATTAGTGCCTAATCTCACATTAGAGTTGGTATAAAACCATTCATTCAGTTGTAATACATGGAGAGTGAGAGTACGTGGGTAGGCTATGGCATTGTTGTTGAGTTCATGGACAAGATCTGAAATTCAATGGACCCAAGACTTGAGAAAAAAGACCAGAAATTCAATTAATATGTGTATTATGTCTATCAGAGGGCCAGAATCCGTAAGAAAAAAGAAGGACTTTTCTTTTTGTCCACTTCAAATTTACTGCAAGTGGGAGTGGATAAGTGTCCGGATCTATCTCATGACTTGATCTATTGAATCAAAATTAAAGGGAAAATTCGAGTTGATTTGGTGTGACAGTTTGGTTTTGATTTTAATATTACACAAGCATGATAGTATCGGATAAGGTATTAGATTAATAGATGTGTCACTAACAAGTTAGTGATTTCAATAATATTAAATTTGATCTTTTTTAAATTTGAGTATTATAAACGTAAAAAAAATGATCGAGAGAAAAAAATTATTAAAAATGATCGGTTCAATTCTTTCATGAATATTTTTTTTAAGAAAATATATGTTGTGTAATTTTATAATTTAATATTTTTTATGTTATATAATTTTATAATTTTAACTTTCTTAAATTATTCATCAATTTTCTTTTCTTTTATTGTACTTTTCTATTTCTCGCATACTTTATTTTTTCTTCTTATTTTATTAATAGATTCGATAACTCAATCCAATTTAACTCAAATATGATGTTATTGATTGCATTCGAGTTGTCAAATTTTTTTTTTAAAAAAAAAAACTGAAGCAACCCAAACTAATTAATATCGATAAGTTTAAATTTAATTATCTTGAAGAGTTGATTCAATTCCACGTGTGCGTACCCTTAACTGCGAGAGTAAAAGCTTAAATTAATAATAGCGACTTGGGGCTTCATTTATTTATTTATTTATTTTATAATTTAATCCTTAAGTCTTTTTCTTGATAATAGGGATATCCTTTAAGTTTACTTCTTTCACTTGTTGGTGAAACTATAACAGTACTAATAGTTTTATTCAATTTATGTATATTTCTTATTCTGTTTTTTAAATATATCCTTATTTAAGTATTTTTACCAAAAATGAAAAACATTAAATTTTAATTTCTCTATATAATATATATCGTATAAAATCTATTATCTATTGTATTACTTAAGTGATGTTTTTGATAACATAGATCATACTACGTAACGTAACGAAACCTTTTTGAATCATTTGTATTTGGGCTATTTAAAAAAAATCATTCCAATATTATTATAAATTAACTATAATAAATATTTGAATTAATTAACTAATATTAACTGCAATAATTTGAACCAAATAATTGATATATTAGAATATTTTGAATCAATTAAATATTGTACTTATTTGAAATAATTTTTATTTAAATAGATAATAAATTTAAGCCGTATATTGTAAAGACTCAAATATATTCTAGTCGTTAAATAAAAAAGAATAAAACTTATAATGAAAAATAAATAAATCTTTTTCTTTTATGCTAACCCATGTGAAGTTGGGAAGAAAAAATCTCACATCATTTTATGTTGAATCAATTTTCTCTTTTTTCATTTATGTAACAAGAAAAAATTAAAAGGAAAAAATGTTCTTTATGATCATAGAATGTTTTATGATTTACTTATAATTTGAGTTTCATTCAATAATACCTTAATTTTTAGGGTTAGAATTGGAAAATTAAAAATATTGTGCAATTAACTGGTATTTTCCTCTTTTTTGAATTTTTATTTTTTAAGTCTGCATATGTAGTACATCATAACATCCGTTTGTCTCAAAGGTTAACACAATACTTGCATTGGTCTATGCATTGAGTTTGAGAAACAAGAGAGACACTTCACCAGTGTCTTCTCCATCAGACCATGCACTAAATAGAGACATTGCAGAAATTTGAATTTGGAAGAGACGAGAAACGGAATGATCTAAAACTATAATTTTAAATGGAGAAGTTCAAAAAGGACAAATGATCTATCTATGTTATACATCAAGTGATTCTAGTTTAAATGCATTGAGAGAATAACTTGAAGAATTTTTTAACATTTGAAGGATTATGTAAGTATATATTTAAAAAACTACTTATATAATTTCAGTACATAATTTAAAGATTCTTTAAGAGAAAAGATGATACTTAAAAAACCAACATATTAATGGTTTATTTCAAATGAAAATGTCATTATATTTTTTTTATATTTTATAATAGAATAAAACAAATATTTCATTTCATCGTTTAAAATAAAAGCTAGAACAAAATAAGTGCATCCAAAATGGTTAGGGTAAAATAATTATTTTACAATTTAAAAACTATTTTCTATCAATTGCATCCCAAGATTGGGACAAAAAATTTAAGTTTAAACAATAAAATACAATGAATCATGCGTGATTTATCTTTTTCTATTATTTGTTCACGTTTTTACAAATCAAATAATGAGACAATTTCTCCCTCCACTTCATGGCTATCTTTCCAATCCACCTTTTATCACTATTCCAAACATAGCTTAAGAGAAGAGAAAGAGATGATTAAATAACATTTATTTCCTGTTTTATTATAATATATACATTCTTATTTAAAAGATAAATATATAATATATTTTGTGTTTCAAAATAAAAAAGAAGGATAATTTAAACATCTCGAAATCTAGTAATTTTCTTGAACCATGAACAATATACATACCTATTGGGGTTACTCGAAGAGATTCTCTTGAGATCTACTCGGAACGGAAATGTTAATTGAAAGTATGCAAGCCGTATAAACAAATATAGGATAAGTATGACCAAATGCATATAGGTATTCGAGGGTAAGTCGAGAAGTTAACAGAGGTTACCTGAGTAATGTAGGAACAATTATACCTGGGTGGCTACTAAACAAGTAAGTCGAAAAAACAAAAAATCATGTGAGATAAGACGGTTATAAAAAGTTACATTTAAGCCATGTAATGGGAATAGTGGATAGCGGTTACGAGCCCTCAATGTACGCATACAAATTAACCATTCTCGGTTTAAGCCATGAAATGGAGGTAGTGGATAGCAGTTATGAGCTCACAACATACTAATCGCTCTGGGTTATCCCTTCATAGGAGTCGGAAAAATCATACTTACACTCTCAAGTACTCACCGCCTGCGCATATGGCTTTCGTGCACGGAATTGCTGGGTATGACAAATTTTTGACCTCATTTTTTTTTTCTTTTTATAGGATTAGTTTAGTTTAGTCTATTTCCATAATATAGTTTGTAGTTCATAATACTTTTTTTCTAAATCATGATATTGTAATCCGACAATTATGCGAAGTGAACGATGATTTGTATTGCAAGTATATTTATTGTTTATTCTGTTCATTTGAGTATTTACGTGCATGAACATTATTGCTCAATATTCATTAATGAAAATCTGGAAACAAATATTTATTAGTCACCTCCCCTTGTCTTTGTCACCATTCTTAATCGTAAATACCTAAATTGAAACAATTGCGTGTTAATTCAAGTAAAAAGAACTCGTAAACGAATTCCACCACAAACAATACCATAGTAAAATCTAAAAACATTCTTCACGTTTTATTTATTGTGTTCATTCCTTAACCTAACTTTCACCATGACAAGCCCACAAATGCTTACACGAACATCCATTTTATAACCCAAAAAATCAAACACGTA